ACAAGACAGAAAACTACTGCTGTCAAAATAAGCAGTCCCCTCCTTACCTGTTTCTGATAATCAGGGATCCAGATTTTCTGTGTCCTGTGGAAAAACTCAGATTTTCTCCTTTAAAGGAGAAAAACCTGAGAAACCACAGGTTTCCTCTGGCAGGCTGGCAGAGAACCAGCCTAAAAGGGACTGCTTGGGCCTTGGGGGAGTGGGAGGAGGGCAATCAGAGGCAGGGAGCCATGTGCATGTGCGTGACACATATGCACATGGCTGGCAATACAGCTGGGCAGTGTGATGGAGAGCAGCTCCTGCAGCTGCCTTTGGGTAAGTCTGTGGAGGGGGGCATAGGTGACATGAGGAGATTGAGGTGATGGTGGTGGCTTGCACTAAGCGTACACAGTGAGGGAGGGAGTGGGGCAGGATTGATGGCTGGGGCAGTGCCTGGGACAGGGACCAGGGCTGGAGCAGGCAGGAATGCACAGTCTGGCCAGACAGCTTGTCTGGTGGAGGAGGGGGGTAGCTTCCTGCCGCTGCACATTCACGGGGAGAGCTCAGGCCCATTGGTGATGTGTTGGGGGGCATGTGCCCCCCCCCCAGATTCCTGCACCCACTGTGGAATATGAGGTTGCAGCCTGGCTGGACTGGCACCAGACAGGAACCGCCTCTGTGGCTCAGTGGGTGGGACTTGCCATGGGAGAGTGGAATGGGGCAGGGCAGGGAGGCTTGGTGCTGCCACCACCACTGTTGCTGCTGGGTGCACTGTGCTGCTGTGGCCATTAAGGCGAGGCATTCCCTGCTCATCTGGCTGCAGCAGCTGCAGGGGCACAACTCTGCACCACTGCAGCGCCTTACCTGGGCAACCATGACAGCATGGCTGGTGCAGGGCTCTCAGCATTGGCACGGAGTTGTGCCCTGCTGCTGGCTTGGCAGGGTGAGCTCTGATTTTCCATGATTAAAAAAACCAAAATCAAATGCCAAAATATATAGGTATATAGAATTTCTTGTGTTATAATGATTGAGGCACTGGTAGGCTTCCAAACTGCTTTAAAATTGTAAATACAGTATAATCTCATAAATCCAGATCTAAAAAATGTGGAATTCTCAAAAATGTGGCACTTTTAAAAAATACATTACATCAGGGAGTAGCAGTGGCTGGTCTCGGAGCAGAAGAGGTGGCAGCTTGCACGTGGCAGCTGCTGCCACAATCCATCACCCTGTGTTCCTGCTCTGTGTGCTGCCATTGCTACCCCCCGCCGCACTCCGCGACCAGCGGTCGCTCCAGTTTCAAAAATCCAGAATTTTCAAATTTCCAGCAGGGGCTCAGTCCCAAGCATGCTGGATTTATGAGGTTATACTGTATATCAATAAAACTTTATTTTCAACTGCTACCCATATATACATACATAGTGGCATTTCTTCTAGATCGTGTAAAAATATGCATTTTGGGGTTTCTAATATGAGATTTTTTGGATTTTCTTTAATCAAACAATTTTGGATGTTTTAACAGAGAAAACCAGAATCTCTGAATAATGCTGATAATGTTTTCAGTGTGAAGATGTCTCTGAAAGCCCTAACTCCTCAAACCATGTGATTGGGTGGGAATCACAGTTTGCATTTAAAGAGTCAGTTTCTAAGGCTGAAAACTGATCTAAGTGTGTTTGTCCAGAAGGTAAAAACAAAACCCAACCTTTATAAAACCCGTGATTTACTTGGGGCAGAGTGGGGGGGGGGAGGGGGAGAATGAAGGGGAG